CCATTCTTAGCTCAGTTCTGAAGAAATCCCAGCCTGGAAGTTAATTGTATGGTGGAGAGGAGAAACAGTGGCATTACTCATCTGAGGAGTGGAGCCTTTTGTTTGAAAACTGTATCTGAAGAATGGAAACTTCACAGATAAGGGACCTGTCATTCTTTTCTGAGTGCAGGCACTCCTTCACTGTAGATTGCTGCTTGCCATCTCTCTGAGGGCTCCAATGAAGTCATAAAACAGAGGGTCAAAGCTCAGATGTCTGCAGGATGGGTCTGGGAGCGTCTGTTCACTATTGCCATCCACACTGCAGGGTGGAATTACAGCCCTAATTCATATACATGGGGTGAGAGGCCAGAGCTCTGCATTTAACTCTGCCCCTTTTGGGGTCACCTCTGCTCTGCTAAGTGCTGATAAACGCAGTGGGACAAAGATTCATGCAGGGTCTCAGGTGGGGACAGAGCACAGGGGAAGAACCTTTCCAGGAGCCAGGGCTGTGCCACATGCCAGGTCCTGTCCTCACCCTCTTCACTGCAGGACACACACTGGGGTGTTGGAGCATGTCTAGAAAAGGGAACAGAGCTGGGAAAGGGTGTGGAGCACCAGGAGCAATTGAGGGAGTTGAGGGGCTCAGGGGGAGCCTTCTGGCTCTCCACAACTCCCTGCAGGAGGGTGCAGCCAGGTGGGGATCAGCTCTGCTCCCAGGGACAAAGGGACAAAACCAGAGGGAATGGCTTCAGGCTGTACCAGGGGAGGTTTAGATTGAATATTATGGAAATTGCTTCATAGAAAGGATTGTCAGACACTGCAACAGTCTGCCCAGGGAGGTGGTAGAGTTCCAGCCCTGAAGGGATTTAATTAATGTGTCAGTGTGGAGCTTGGGGACATGGGTGGCCTGGGCAGGGCTTGAAGGTTTTAGAGGGCTTTTCCAACCCAAAGAATTCTATGATTCTAAGGGAGCAGCAGTACTGAGGTACCACTGGGGTGTCACTGGGGTGGTAGTGGGATGACAATTCTCCTGCCTGGTGCCAGAGCTGGGGTGCAAGGGCTGGGCTGTGATGGTCGGGGAGTTCCCATCTCCCCAGTGCAGCACTGCCAGTCCCACAGCTCTGTGCTGGCCCTGCACTCCATCCATTCCCTTTCTCACAGGCTCAGGGTGTCCCCAAGGCAAAAAGGGCTGGGTGAGGGTGAGGATCTGGCCCCTGAGGCCCACAGGGTCGGGCCTGGGCCTGCTCCGTACCCCTCAGCACCGCCATTGCGGCTCTGCCCCAGGCCTGCCCAACCAGGCCGAGTTTCTGTGGCCTCTTTGAAGCTCCCAGGTCTCATCTCCCGGGGCATTCACCAAAGCACACGCTGAGGCTGCTCCTCACACAGTGGGAAACAAAACAGCAGCTCCTTGGGAACAGGGCTGCTCTCTTGAAGTGTCCATTTGAATGCGGCTCCCAGGCTGTGAGGCCTCCGGAGCCTGGCGTGCCCAGTTCTCCGGCTCTGTCGCTGTGTAGGTGTTTTTGTGGAGGGAGCTGCCATTAAATGGCTCCTGAATAACTGATCAGGCTCTTTTCTCGTTCCTTATGACTTTGCTGAGAGCCCTGTGTGCTGGAGCATGGATTCCCAGCCTTGGGTGGAAAAAAGAACTGCTTCAAAGAGGTGTAAGAGGCAGGAACACCCTCCTGGCAGAGGCGCTGATCCGAGCCATGGATCTCCCTCATCCACTGGAGCTGCAGGGAGGGTGCTGGCTGAGGGGATGGGTTATGGCTTGGCTTCTGGAAAAGTGAAAAGGCAAATGAGTCATGGAATTGGGATCCCTTGGTGTGGTGAAGATGAAAGGGTTGCTAAGGTGGGGGAAACACCTATATTATCCTGCTTTGGGAGCAAGGGGGGAAGCTGTGGGAAAGCGATCTTAATTTAAATGGGATGTGGGTGGGAACAGAGGAGGCAAGGCAAGCTCCATACTCCTGCTGTTGTTACAGGGCTGGATGTTTTTGCTGCTGAAACTTTTCCTGTTGCTCCCATCCATACACCTGCTAAGGGGCAGCTGCAGAGACTGTCTGGCTCCCTTGGAATGGATCATGGAGAAATCCACTGGCTCAGGAGCCCTGTGCCTGCAATAAAAGGAGATTTGGGCTCATTAAAGGCAGATGAATGAGTTCCCTATGGAGAGCAGGGACACAGGACCTGCTGCCTGGTCTTTCCTTGCCCTGCCAAGAGCTGGGATAAGGACATAGAGATTCATTTTCCTTGTGCCATGGCATCACCCTGGCCCCTGGCCAGCCCATCATCCACACTCTCTTTCCTCCTGCCATGAGTCATGGCCTCGCCTCGAAGCCCAGCCGACTTTGGCCTCCTCGGCAGGGAGCCACACCTTTGGTAATGACAAAAAGCAGCACTTGGAGCTCTTGAACTGTGACAGCTGTGGCATGGAGAGGATGCCAGTGGGAAGATCCCATGACTTGGGTGCCATTCCTGAAGGGACTAGGGAGAAACACTCCCTGGTTTGAAATGTTCCATTTCTGATTTTCTCTGCTCTGAGGCAATGTTCCCTGGACTGGGCTCCACAGCTGTGCTGCCCTGAGGGTGACAGGAGGACAGTGGGGCCAAGGGGCTGCCACTGGTAGCCACAAAATTGTATTTTTTATCTGATGTGCAACAAGCCAATAATAACACATTTGAGAGAGACATTGATTATGTATTTCAGGGGTGTGCCACCTGGGTGCTCAGTATATTCCACAAATCCAGCACACACCATTGGACTTTCCTGCTATTATTTATACACAGAAATTCAGAGTTAGTAACTTTCCAAGCACAATCCTTTATTAGAATTTGTCGGTAATTTCCCTACAAGTTGCTTCCCTCTGCCCAGAGGAAGGGTCTTCACCTGGGCAGAGTCTTTCTGGCCTGTAGGTGTGATTTTTGTTACTGTAACAAACATAGTTCAGCTATAGAATGTACCGGCTTTGAAAGTTACCAATGTTTACATAAACATACATCAACTTTTATGTTCAGGTCCTTAAAGCTTGTAGTTTTCAAGGGTGTCCTTGACTAAGGGATGCAACTGTTGCTTGTTCCACTGATTAGAATCACAGAATCCCAGAGCAGATCGGGTAGGAAGGGTCCTCTGCAGATCATCCAGTCCAACAAGGCAGGGTCACCTGGAGCAGGTGACACAGGATTGCATCCAGGTGGGTTTGGAACGTGTCCAGAAAGGGAGACTCCTCCCTGGGCAGCTGTCCCACTGCCAGCCACCCTCCATGGGAAGAGCTTCTTCCTCATACTGAGGCGCATCTTATGTTTATTGCTCCTTATCACCGGACACCACTGAGCAGAGCCTGGCACCACCCTCTTGGCACACGAATTGAGATTTTTGTATGGATTGATGAGATTTCTTCCAGACTGACCAGGCCCAGCTCCTGCAGTCTCTCCTCATCATAAAAAATGCTCCAGATTTAGATAGATAATTACATTATCCTTGTGGCCTCTGCTGGACCCTCTCCAGTATCTCCCATTTTTATTTATCCTTGTCCAGAAGTGGACACAGTAAAATAATCTTGACACACCCCACATTTTCCAGCCCTACCCACGCCCAGCCACTGTCCCTCGGGACG